GAGAGAGAGAGAGAGAGAGAGAGAGAGAGAGAGAGAGAGAGAGAGAGGCTATACTTTTTTATGCATTTGCACGTTTGCATGTGTTCTTATGTATCATGGTACCTCTGTAGAGGTGAGAGGACATCTTCTTGCAGGGAAGCATTTCTTTTTTCTACCATGTAGATCCCCAAGATCAAACTAAAGTTTTCAGGTGTGGCAAGCACCTTTACCTGCCGAGCTGTCTCAGCAGCTCTATAAACATACACCTTCTGTCTTCTCTTGTTCCCTGGCTTTTGCACAGGCTGCTCCCTGTGAGGACCCACAGTCCCTCCACTTTCTGCCATCATTTCTTCATCTGCATATCTTGTACTCAATTTTCTTTCTCCTCACATAGGTGCTCAAATATTTCTTCCTCATATTTCTTGATCCTCCATATCTTATTTAACATTAGGATAAATTGTGTATACTTTCTGTGTTCCTACAACACATTCTCTATTTTTCTTATAGTATTTTTCTCACTGGATTATCATCTATGATTTTTCTATAATATTTTTCCTGTTAAATGCATTTTTGAGTGCAAAGTTTATAGCTTAAGCATCTCTATTTTTTGAGCATCTATCATAGTAGTAAGCACCGCACAACTTATTAAACAAATTAAAAGAATTAATCTCATCAATAAGGAATAAGGGATTACCTTTTACCAGAACAATTCTGTTTCCTGAAATGTCATTTTTTTCACAGACAAATTGGTCTGCCACCTCCTTCATTGTCTTGTGTCAAGAGATCTCTTCTCAGTATTTGAAACCAACCAGTATCTGAGACTTGCAATTCAAGAAAAAGTACCCTGGAAGGTTCTGGAAAGAAGCTTCTGTGTGAAAGATTAAAATAGCAAGCTGCATATTGCAGACACTGATGGAAAGGACTGTAGGGTAATTTGTTATTTTTTATTCATATCATTCTTGTCCAATTTGTTTTGGGGCACACAAACAAGGCAATGAGGTCATTCTTCTCTCTAAAGCTTGTACAGGTGCCCTTCTGCTTCCCGTGGGGTGTTAGCTTCCATTCTTGGAATCAATTAGTGGCTCACTGAGCTTGAATTTAGTGAAACCAAAGAAGCCAAGCTTTGCAATCTCTCTGCAAAAGTTTAAAAGATACAGACTGCAAGTTACAGAAGGCTCAATTAAATTGCAATTGTTAGTTACCGTTATGCAATGATTTTTAATATAAAATTCAATATAGATGCTATTTCTGTGATCAAGATGCACTCACAGAATCACATGAGGGAACAATAACAGTGACAGTCTTTTAAAATGTTCCTATGTAACATGGTTCACAAGGAAATTTTTATTTCATGAAAATAACACACATTTATTTCTGCTAATTGTGGTAAATGCTCTGAATGCGTGATTTTCCTTTAGTCTGCACAACAGAGCAGAGGTCTAGCTTATTATTTTTCTGTCAGCAGAAAAGGAAATGGAAGGCTCACACCATTAGGCTAAATACATAGCAAAACAAGACACAATTCTGAATCCAAATGTAACTGACATTAAGGTCCATGATATTTGTGCTAGGTAGTTTTATGCCAAAAAGAGAGGACCTCAAATGAGAAAATGTCTCCATAAGATCCAGCTATAAGGCATTTCCTCAATTAGAGATTGATAGGGAGGGCCCTGCCCATCATGGGTGGTGCCATCCCTGGGCTGATCATCCTGGGTTCTATAAGAAGACAAAATGAGCAAGCCAGGGGAAGCAAGCCAGTAAGCAGCACTCCTCCATGGCCTCTGCATCAGCTCCTGCCTGTGTGAGTTCCTGAAATCTTTCCCTCAGCAAATTGCCTTAGGTCATAGTGTTTCATGGCAGCAACCCCTAAGACACTTGGCTTAAGGTTTTTATTTTTATTCTTGTTATTCCCTTCATCACATTTTATTCATATATTTTCTCCCTTCCTTTGCCTCACATTCTTTGGTTTTCTATTTCCTTTCTTTTATTTAACCTTTCTTCATTCCTTCCTTTCCGGCTTCCTTATTTAATTTACTTATCACCATTATTACTTTTGCCTTATTTACTTTCTAGCTTTATAACTGACTAAGGTGGTTTGCGTGAAACTGCCTCCTATTGGCTCATATTCTCACATGCTTAGTTCTGAGAAGAATGAGGAGGCGTGTCCTTGGAGGAGGTGTGTCACTAGGAGTGGGCTTTGAGATTTAAAAAGTCCACACCAGGTCCAGTGTCTCTCTTTGCCTGCTGCCTGTGGACCAGGATGTAAAATTCTCAGCTATTCTCCCAGGGGCATGCCTGGCTGCTTCCTGATATGATGAAAACGGACTAATCCTCTGAAATGGTAAGCAAGTACCTCATTAAATGCCTTCTTATTTTTTTTAAGAGTTGCCTTGGTCATGCTGTCTCTTTACAGCAACAGTACCATAACTAAGACACTTACAATTACATTTTTTTTACCATTTCTTTGTATATAGTGGTACAGCAGTTGGTTTTAATTAATTTTAATTGTATTTCTATATCTGGATTGTTATTCAAATATATTGTTGTACTTATATTCATTTGTTTTCTCCTCTGCAACTGGTCCTGGAAATGGAGCTTCAAGAAAACCGTGCTCGTTAAAAAGATCCCTGAATAAAACCAGAAGAGATACCAGTGCTAACACCTGTGCAAATCCCAACTCAGAAACACAAATACCCTGAAACAACAAAGCAACATGATTCCTTCAAAGGATTACAACTTCTCAACTACTGAATCCAAATATACTGAAAAGGTTGGAATGTCAGCAAAACATTTAAAAGCCTCATCATAAAAAATGATCAATGAATTAAAAAATGGTTCAAGCAAAGGGATAAATGAAGTAAGGAAAATCAGTTCATGAACTGGCCAGGAAATTCATCAAGGAAATTGAAATTTAGAAAAAGAAAAAGCTACTGGAAATGAAATACTCAGTATGCCCCACCCCCACCACACACCCCCAAAAAACAAACCCACTGTGAATAACATCATCAGTAAACCACAGCAACAATTCAAGAAAGAGTAACAGGGGCTGGGCTGGAAAGATGACATAGAGTTTAAGAGCACTCTGCTATGCCAGGGGACACATGTTTGATTCCCAGCACCCACATGGTGGCAACCAACCAGCTGTAATACCAGTTTTGGAGAATATAAGATCTTTCTCTGGCCTCTGCCAGCATGGCAGGTACATTCTGCACAAGACATACATGTACGTAAAACACCCAGACATGTGAAATTTATAAATTAAAATTTAACTTAAAATGTAATTAAAAGTTTAATTAAACAAAAGCAAGTAATGTAAAAGAAGGAATCAGCACATATCTCTCAAAGATAATCCTAAATGTAAATGTCTTAATTCTTCAGATAGAAATCACAAACCCTCCGGGTGGTGGTGGTGCATGCCTTTAATCCCAGCACTTGGGAGGCAGAGGCAGGCGGATTTCTGAGTTCGAGGCCAGCCTGTTCTACAGAGTGAGTTCCAGGACAGCCAGGACTATACAGAGAAAACCTGTCTCAAAAAAAAAAAAAAATAAGAGAAAGAAATCACAAACTATTTGTATAAATTTAAAAATCAAAACCCAGGTGTTTATTGTCTATAAGAAACACAACTCAATGGTAAGGAAAGGTTAAAGCAAAAGAATGGAAATGCGTGTATAAATGTAGCAAGTTGAAGCTAAAAACCAGCAGGGGTAACTATAGTTCTAGCAAAGTAGTCTTTAAGCAAAACTGAGACAAGACAAATACAATCATTAAATATTATAATGAGGGGTACATTCAATTTTATAAAACACTATAGAAGGAAAAACCTGTCCAGGTACAATAATAGTGGGTGATTTCAATACCCATTATCATTAATAGACCAATATCATTAACAGATAGACCACTCAAGACAAAAAAAATTCACAGGTAAACCCCAGAGTTACACTGCACCACAGACGAGACTTAACCAAGATATATTCTACCAACAGCTTTGACATGCTTCTTAGCAGCAAATGGGACATTCTCTAAAATGAATACAAAATAGGCCACAAAGGTAATACAAAAATTATTTCTTTCATTTATCAGATCATAATGGAATGAAACTTAAACTCAACAGCAAGAGAAACATAGAAAATATAAAAATGTATGCATACTAAGTAATATTCTGGAATGATCACTGAAAATACAATTAGAATTTTTAGAATACAAAAGAAGAAGCTGTAAGAGGGGAGTTTGTAATTATGAGTACTTTAAATAAAGAAATTAGAAAGACTGTGTTATCCCCACTGTAAGGTCCAGCTACTATACAAACAGAAATCATATTATGATCATATAGAATGATTATTTTAACATATTATTTAAAAGGCTCTTTTGGCAAACTTGATACAGACCCTGAGAAATTAGGAATAAAAGAAAAATATCCCAACATACTATAATGTTAGGCTAAGAAAGGGAAAAATGGGAAAGCAGTTCCTTCAATATCAAGAAAGAGACAATGGTGTCTATTTTCTCAACTGTTATACATTTACAGCTTGAATTGCTATCCAGAGAATTTAGACAAAAGAAAGAAATAAAGGGGATGCAAATAGAAAAGGAAGAAGTCAAATTATTCTTAGTTCCAAGTAATAGGATCCATACTTAAAAGTCTATTGGGATAGATAATTGACAGGACCCACAACTACATAGGAAACAAATTTCTGCATATGTCTCTGAAGGAATTTCTAGGTTGGGTTAATCAAGGTAGGGAGATAGATCCTATTGTGTGTGCCATTATTCCTTGTACTGGGATCCTCAGGGGAAAGTCAGCTAAACATCCACTTTCATCTATTTGTTTTCTTGCTGGCTGTCTCACTCTCTGGTCACCATAATGTATTTCTTTTTACCACGATGGACTGTACATTTGAATCATAAGCCAAAGTAAACCATTCTTAAGTTGCTTTTGTTACAACAACAAGAAAAATAACGTTTATATTCATGGATATTAAAAAATATTGCGCCTAGAGACACTGCAGGTGTGGCTGCTGTGTCACATGTGCATCAGTAGGTGGCAGAGAGGACAGAGGTGATGTCTGTGCTCAGTGTTCTGACCTATAAGCATCTGAATGATTATTAGCCTAACATTCCCTGAGAAAAGGAAGCCTGGGATGACAGCCAGACCAGCACCAGGGGGCCTGGACAGGGAGCTAGCCTAATCTGACCAGTCAGGCACTGTGCAGACATGGGCAGGCAGACCCAGTGCCATAATGTGCATAGCACTCCCAAGACCACTTCTGAGATGACCCCGAACATTCAGTGACCATGGGTGCCACTAAGAGGAACAAGTAAGTGGTGGAGAGATGGAAGGGAAAGAGAAGCAGAAGGATGTGGGCACAATGAAGAGAGGCAGAACTGGAGACTCGACGGTAGTGAGGAACAGCCTGATGTGGGTAGTTGGTGATGCCAACAGGGACCATATGTTTCTGGTCTGGGCTGCCACCCAGGGACATGTTGATGTCTGAGGGGTGTGCAGAACTGGCCCTACCCCTCATCTGGACATACTGGAAGAGCTGTCCCTGGGGGCATGAAAGCAAGAGAGCTCGATCCATCCCTAACTGACTACAGTACTGAGACGAGTGTGTCTTGCATTTTGAGGGAGTTGTAGGTGAACTGGTCCCCAAGTAAAAGAGCATGGGAGAGCTGGCCCTGCCACTGATCTCCTGTGTGGTGGCATGGATTTAGGAGAGATAACCTCCTTTCTCCTCACCACTTGTAGCAGGTAAGAGACGTGGCCCTGGGGTCATAAGAGCAGGAGAGCTGCCCTGGCCCCTAACCAGCTTCGGCACTCTGGAGAGTGGGTCTTGCACCTCACCTGGGTACCATAGTAGAGCTAACCCTGGTAGTGGGGTCACAGGTTGGCTGGGTCCCAAGGGCATGAGCACAAGAGAGCTAGCCCCACAACCTGTCTACTTTGTAGTGACTAGTGACATGGGCAAAGGAGAGATGACTCCCAGCCCTTATTCCTTGTCACCTATAGCAGGTGAGAAAGCTAGCCCTGGGGTAATAAGCACAGGAGAGCTGGCCCTGTGCCTCACCAACTGTTGCACTCAGGAGAGTGGGCCTTTAACTTCACCTGGGCAGCAGGGTAGAGCTGGCCCTGGTTGTGTGGAATGCCAGTAGACTGTCCCCAGTGATGTGACAGTGGGAAAGCCAATGGGCTGACCAGCTCAGGTACCTCTCAGGCCCAGACCCATGGCTTTGAATTGGCCCATCCCAACATCTACCCCATTGATGAACTGCTGGAGTGCATAAAGGGGCTGGTCTTATAGATCCAAAACTACAAGATCTCTGTAACACAGGGCAACAACAGGATACCCAAAAGACTCACTGAGATTCCAATATTGATTGACAGAGTAGCACAAGCCAGAGGCCTCTAACCAGACCAAGGAGTCACTGCAATGAACATTTGCAAGCAAAGAAGTGTAGACAAAAGGGTATATTGTGGGATTCACAGTGACACACTACAGTTTCTACAGTGAGATTTTTTTTTCTGATGGGGGGGCGGTGAGTTGCAAGTGTGGAGTGTGCGTAAGAGGGGAGGAGAAGTGAGTGGGATTGGGATGTGTTAATATATATATATATATTAGACCTGCTAATCAATTACAGTCAAATAAAATTATATAAAAAAGCGAAATATGAAAATTAGTTTCTGGATAATAATGAACATACTGAGAAAGAAATCAAGAAAACAATTCAATTCACAACATCCAAAAAGGAGGAAGGGTGTCTAGCTAGGAACAAAGGTAACCAAGGTGTTTTTTAAAACGGCTTTTAAAAAGCTGAAGGAATCGAAGGAGATATTAGAAGAAATGAACATTGACTTGCAGAATTAATACTATGAAAATGTTTAATTACCAAAAGTGACCTACAAAGTCAATGTAAGCTCCATTAAAATTCCAGTCGTCTTTCTCAGAGAAACAGAAAACACAATGGTAAAGCTTATTATGGCAGCACAAAAGATCCCAGATCGACAAAACAATTCTCAGCAGAAATAGCAAAGCCAGAGGAATCATAGTACCAGATTTCCAATGATAATGCCGAGCCATACTTTCAAAACCAGAATGTTGCTGGCACAAAAACAAGCGTATAGAACAGTGGAATAAACAAAATAAGACATGATGTAAATGCACATAGTCACCTGGTTTTCAAATATCTCCAAAACATATAATGAAGAAAAGACAGCCTATTCAACAAATGGTACTGGAAAATCTGGATGTCTGCATATCGCAAAGTGAAAACAAAATCGGTTATCTCTTATCCTGCATGAAAATGGATTCAAAACTGGATTGAGACCTGAATTTAAGACTTCAAAACCGATTTCCCAGCAAGCACCGCGGGGTGGGCGGGTGCTAGTGCTTCTGGTCTTGGGAGTGACATGTAGTTTATAGGTCTTGTATCTATGGCAGCAGCCAGTTGCAGTTACGGGAGAGAAGTTTCTACCCACAGTCGTCTGGGCTGTAGCGCGCTGTGGAGACAGCTTGGCAGCAAAATTGTGATGCTCCAGGGCAGGCACCATGTTGCATTCATCTTTACACCTCAGCATCTAGCAGTGTCGGCATGTAGTAGGCACTCAAGAAATGTATGTTGAATGAACGATGCCTGTGACAAGCAACTGGACTTTATTCTTTTCTGACCCTTGCTCCTATGACAGACCTCTTGATTGCCTCTATCATCTCTTCAAAGCAGAACTTCTCTAGGGAGCCTGGAAGGGAAACAGCTATGGGCAAGGACATCTTCGGCAAGGCAGGGCTGAATTTTGATGACCTGAACAAGCTTTGGGTGTTAGACCCAAGGAAGAGTGCAAGGATTTTGTGGACAAAATTGGCCGGTTTCAGAAAGTTGTTAGTGGCCTAATTGAGCTTGTTGATCAGCTTGCCAAAGAAGCAGAGAACGAGAAGATGAAGCCACTGGTGCTCGGAACTTGCTGACATCCATATCGAAACAGAGAGAAGCCCAACAGCAGCAACTGCCCGCGCTGGTAGCAGAAAAGAAGATGCAGCTAGAAAGGTATTGGGTTGAATATGAAGCTTTGTGTAAACTAGAAGCAAGAAAAAAATTGAATTTATTGACCAATTTATTTTTCAGAAATGAACTGAAATCTTCAGTTTTATAGCAAGAAAGCACCCCAAGCAAAAAACAAAACCAAACCTCTGTACCATTCCAGTGATTTGACTGATATGCATCAGGGCAGTGTGTTAAAGGAGCACCTGGTAAACACAGTGTACAGCCTCTGCTAGTGGCCAGGCAGCACAGGGCCTCATGTCTTGACTTCTCAGCACAAACTAAGGGCCTGTAAATTTTGGTCCACTTTTTTTTTTTTTTTGTAAATTCACAAAGCTCTCAAGGAAAAGCAATAAATACCATTAGCAAATGGAAAAAAAAAAGACTTCAAAACCTTGAACCTTCTAAAAGAAAACAGGAGAAATACTTCATTATACACATCTGCAAGGACTGTCTGAAGAGCATTCCAATAGTCCTGGATACAAGAGAATGGACAGAAAAAATAGCATTGCAAGAAATGAGAAAGCATATACAGGACAAATGAGACAACACAGTAAAGAAAAGCAGAAAAAGATTGGACATTTATATGTCTGACTATAGTTACTACATATAATATATAAAAATCTCAGACTGTCAAACACCAAAAATGGCATCTGGTCAACAAGTAAGTTCTTAAAGAAAAACTTACAAATAGATCCGAGGAAAAACTTTCAACACCCTTAGCCATCAGCAAAATGAGAATCAGAGCTACACTGAGATACTAGAGAATGTGGAGACAGTAACAAACACTTACAACCTTAGTGCAAGCAACTATAGAAAGTAGTATAGAGGTTCCTTAAAACACTAAAAACAGAAATATCTTCTATTATGTCTGATACTGAAGTTAGTATACAACAGAGATACCTGCGCATTCCTATTTATTAAGGCACTGTTTACTATCGCTAAGTCTTGGAGTTAGCCTAGATGTCCACCAACAAAAAAGGCCTAAGGAGAGATATATATCTCACATATAAATACATTTATATATAGGAGATATATATATATATATATATATATATATATATATATATAATGAAGTTTTATTCATCCATTAAAAAAATAAAACTGTGAGCTGAGGAGACGGCTCAGTGGATTAAGTACTTGCTATAGAAGCATTAGGACTTGAATTTTAATCTCTAGTACCCACGGAAAAAGCCAACGGTAGCCCCATGCCTCCATAATTCCAGTGTTGAGGGCTCAAAACAGGCAATACCCAGGAGCTCTCTGGCCAGCCAATGTATACCAAACCTCCAGTTCTAGGTTCAATAAGAGATTATATCAAAAACAAAACAACAACAACAAAACAAAAAAATTAAAAAGGTAGGGATGTGAAAACAGAACTGTGGGTAAAAGGCATTTGCTTTCAAGTCTTACCTGAGTTTTATACCTAGGATCTACATGGTAGAAGAAACTCACTCCTGAAAGTTGTACTCTGACTTCTTTCTACACATGTACTGTAACTCATGTGTATAAATAAATAAATAAATGTAATTAAAATAAGGTAGAGAAAGGATTGCAAAAGGTATCTCAATGTCAGTGTCTGGCTTCCAAAGACTGCACAGGCAAGAATTCTTACAAACACACATGCATACACATCTACCATACACAAAGATTTCATTAAAAATGGGAAAAGAATCTAGTCAATTTTAAGAAAATAGATAAAACTGGAGGTCATATTGTTGATGAAATAAGCCATAGTTAGAAAGACCAATGTTGCTGGCCAGTGGTGGCAGATGCCTTTAATCCCAGCACTTGAAGGCAGAGGCAGGCGGATTTCTGAGTTCGAGGCCAGCCTGGTGTACAGAGTGAATTCCAGGACACCCAGGCTACACAGAGAACAAAAAAACAAACAAACAAAAAAGAAAGACCAATGTTAAAGTTTTGTCGTATGTAAAATTATATATATATATATATATATATATATATATATATATATATATAACAAAGTAGAAGGGGTACTATACTATCTGAGGAGATGAAGTGAGCCAGTAAGAGGGGCAAGAGAGGATGAGCAAAGTACAAAATATACACAGGAAAATGTCATAATAAAAATCCCATCCTTTGGCATAATGAATATGTGTTGATAATAATTTTTAAAAGAGAATATTTATAATTATCTGATACTATCAGGAAAATTATCTTTTCTTCTATTTGGGGAAGTATAATATATTTGCTCATCAACTTAAAATAATTTCTGCGTATGTGCGCCTGTGGGCATGGCTGTGTGTGTCTGTAGGTTAGCGTGTAACCTCCGATACCCCTCCTCATGTACATCTTGAGACAGCACCTTTTGTTTTGCTACTGACAAAGTCAGACTTCTGAGTCACCTGTCTCTGCCTTCCTTCTACCCTCGGGTGTACTGGGATCACAGATGCCACCCACCATATCTGGATTTTGTAGGTTCCACGGATTCAAAACTCTGGTCCTCCACCTGTGTGGCAATTGCTGTTGCCACTGATCCACATCTCCAGCCTCTAAACATTTTTATAACAACAAAAATCTCTTTTAGAAAATGCTCTAGCCAGGCTTGGTAGTGCATACATTTAACCTAGCATTTCAGAGGCAGAGGCAGAATGATCTCTGAATTTGAGGCCATCCTGGTCTATATAGAGAATTTTGGTCTATATAGAGAATTTTAGGCCAGCCAGGGCTTCATAGTACGATCTCTCTCTCTCTCTCTCTCTCTCTCTCTCTCTCTCTCTCTCTCTCTCTCTCTCTCTCTCTCACATACATACATACATACATACATACATACATACACACACACACACACACACACAAACCACCTGATATTCCCATTGCTCAAAGAAAATTACTGTTAAATTGTCATACGATATTCCAGATTTCTCTTTATTGTTGTTAAGACAGGGTTCCTCACTGCACAGGAAGACCAATGGGCTGGACCTAGCCCCTCCACTCCAATGTAGCAGATGTGCAGCTTGGTCTTCATGTGGGCCGTGAACAACTGGAGCAGGGGCTGGCTATCTCAAAAGCTGTTGCCTGCCTGTGGGATATGTTCCTCTAGCAGGGTTGCCTTGTCTGGCCTTAGCGGGAGAAGAAATGCCTAGCCTCACAGAGACTTGATGTACCGGGGCAGGGTTACCCAGGGGGCTCCACTCTTGCAGAGGAGAAAGGGAGGGGGGAGTGATTGTGGGAGGGGATGATCTGGAGGGGAGGCAGTGATCAGGAGGTAAAGTGAATTTTTAAAATTCCTCATCAGATAATAGAGCCTTGTTCTTTGGCTTTACAGATTCCAGAAATGTCAGATGAGTAAACTTATATTCACTGTGAATTCCCCGGTCTATGCTTCTTAAAACAGAAAAACAAGAAAAAAAAAAAAGACAGGATTTCTCTACATAGATCCAGCTGTGCTAGACCCCTTCTGTAAGCCAGGCTAGCCTCGAACTCAGAGACCCACCTGCCTTTGCCTCCGGAGTGCTAGAATTAAAGGTGTGCACCACTGTGCCTGGCTAATGTTAGAGGTTTTTAATAATACATATATATCTACTTTCTTTATAACAAATGAAAGCAGAGAGAAAAGGTTTAATTTACTTTCCCCTAAACACCCCTTTGAACCCACCTCCCCAAAATAACAAATGTATGGCATTTATACTCTGCTACCTCATTTTTCTGATCGATCTATGTTTACGGGTATTCTGTCTGCATGTACATCTGTATACCAGAAGGGGACACAGGATCGCACAGGGCTATATAGTTCGATGGTTGTAAACCGCCAGATGAGTACTAGGAATTGATGAACTCGGGACCTCTGCGAGAACAGCCAGTGTTCTTAACTGCGGAGCCCTCTCTCCAGCCTCCATTTTAACAGACATATGAGTACTTCTGAAGCCGGAGTAGGACCGGATTACAAACTGCCACGTGGAGAGGGTGCTTGAGACTGCGGTGGGCATGTGGAAGTTGGAGGTGCTTTGTTCGGGGTAAAGAAATGGCCACAGATTATTACGGTGGACTATGGCAGATGGTGTTACCAAGAGACTACGCACTCTTCCTGGGGTAGTACCAGAAAACCCTGCGTGGTTGGCGTTTGAGTTCTGGAACATTCCGTCCATACAAATGGGGTTATGGGCATGGGACAAACCATTATACTTGAGGGTTTGACTTTCGAAACTTGCTTAGATTGTTGGGGTTTTTTTTTAAGAGTTTTTTTTTTCTGTTTCTTTCTGTCTTCAATGGGTTTCCATCCTACCAACAAATAGTTGTTTCTTGTTTCTTCCAGTAATCAGATGCCAGTCCCTATACCCCACATCCTCTCACCCCACCCCTGCCAGTCCTGAAAGTTGGAACAGTCCAAGAGCAAAACTCGCGAGAGTTTCAAAGAGATTTGGCCTTCGAACATCCTTTTCTCGGGCTTTGTCTTCTAGTGCTGTCCACGGTGAGAGGCAACTGGTAGTCTGTCTCTGTCGCCCTTGGTTGGTGGACTGTTCTTCTAACAGGTATGTTCGGCTTATACCTTTTCTGGGCACAAGCTCGCAGAGCGGTGAGGCCTGGTTTGGATTTTGGGGGTTGCGGGAGAGGA